ATAGTTGGAGGTGGGTTTTCTTACTTACTCCCTAAATTTTATTTAAGAAGATGATTTAGGGAGTCCATTGTGGATGCTCTAACTAAAGCAGTAAACGTAGTAGAAATAGTATTATTGATAAAGAGATGATGAAGAAGTTTCCTCCAAAAAGGACTTCAACCTGTGGAAGGGGAATGATAGCTAAAATGTCAATTAAGATGTATGACTGCCAAATCATCTTAGCTACTTTCGGCAAGAAAGTGTTCCCCAAGAATTGTAATTTGGAGCTGTGATGAAATCCATTGGTTAAACTTGAACAGATCCCAGATGTATAAATTTCAATAATGATGTCCATAACATAAAAGAGGTCTGTGACAGATCTTAATGTGAGAGCTGTTATCTTCAAGTTTTGGTCCAAACTCAGACAATTCATATCCTGATTGATGATAGGAATGTAGAGGAACAAAGGATCCAGTGAAACAGCAAACACACATGATGCTGCAAACATCTTCTTCCACTTTGCAAGGATCCAGTGAAACAGCTCAAGAATTTTCACTATCATCATTGGCCTTTTTTTTCTTGATGTCTGCCATTCTTCCATGGAAGATTCTCCAATTGTAGTGTCTGGACATGAGTATGATTTTGAATCTGAGTCTGAATCTGAATCACTGGACAACACACAACAAACATGTATAAATTTTGAGCAGCCAACGCAGACATACAAGTCCTGTTTTTTTTTTTTTTTATACAGAATTTATTTAAAGGGAAAAGGAAAATGCACATAAATAGTTTTTTTTTGTTTTTTTGTTTGGGTCAAAAAATGCACATAAATAGTTTGAAGTTAAAGGAACCAAACCGTGCAGCTTTCTTTTGCGACTTCTCCACAACAAAACTTACATCGGGGCTGGCCATAACTCCAACCTCTCTGGATACAGAAATTATAGGACGCTTTCTACAAGGTGGAGCAAGAAAGGGGGGAATTTGGACAAGGCCGAGAGTGGCAGAAATTGATGTGGCTGTAGGTGGAAAAAATTTAAAGTTCAGAGTTGACGTATATAGAACATAATATATTGGGATATCTGGCCAACATGGTGACATACAGCTTCATAATAATGGCCTAGCTTGGAAAATGTGGAAAGACTCACTGTTAGAGTCAACATCCGGTCGTCTCTATTATTTCATGGAAAATTCCATGCACATGGTGGTAAATGAAGTGATAGATAAATGCTTTACTTTTTTTAAAAGCAAATAATAATATGACGACTACTTTGTTGACACCACTACGACCCCATTTGATGTGCATAATTGGATTTAATTATTTCTTTCTTTCCTTTCTATTCTATTGCGTCCATTTGTTTTTTTTTTAATTTTTAAATGACGAGGACTTACTAATCGGGTATTGTCTAGTGAAAAAGAGTATTGACTTACAAACTAAAGATTTCAGGTTCAAATCTCCACAGCATCATAGTTCTATGTGTGTGTGAGAAATCACATCTCCCCCAGTGGTGGAGCCACCTAAGGCCAGTGGCGGAGCCACCTAAGGACCAGTGTGGGCTCAGGCCCTCTCATATTTTTTATTTTATCATATTTTTACTTATATGTGTTGCTATATATGTTGGCTTCCTGGAGTAAAAACTGTAAAAATTCATGTTTTTTCTCCTTCTTTTCCTATTTTGATTAACTTAAGCTTTGTGAATTCCCCTTTCCCCCATTTTACATGTCTAAGTAGGGCATCTTAATATTGGGATTTATGAACATTTTGTATATTTCTTATCTATGTTGAAGTATAAATTATTAAATTTTGAGTCTTTAATAGTGTAGATGATGAGATTAATATTCAACTATGTTAAAATATGAAATTCAGGACAATTATGATTGTAATAAATGGATAAATTATTAATCAGTATGAAATGATATTATTAACTTATTAACTCGGATAGCGCTTGAGGGCTCCTATTCGAATTATTTGATTTTTTTTTTTAAGGGCCCCCTCTAATGTGAAATCCTGGCTCCGCCACTGATCTCCCCTATAGTTTAGACTATCACTTGTATTAAAGAAAAAATATCGAAGACTTAGATGACAAGCACAATATCATTATCACCCATAAAAGACATGAGCATGGGATTTACTCCAGTGGAATCAACCTCAACAACCCTAAACCTTATCATCCATGGGGCTGCAACAGTTACAAACTGAAGCCGCAAAACCTTATAAAATAATCTGTGACTTAGTGTTGACTTATGATCAACCTTATCCACAAGTGTCTTTTTGTCTTCCCTCCTACTATAGTGTAGTGAATCAGGGGCGACTTCACTGAGTGAACAATAATTATGGCTAAACTGACTCCAGAAAAAATCAAAGGTGTATCTTTACCACTTTTCTTAATATTTGACATGTGTTTGTATGTATAACCATAATTAACTTTTTACTTTGATTTATGTAATCATGATTATGCTTATTGACATGTGTCAATTGTTGAGAAGGATGGTAAATATACAACTTGAGTTAAAATGTTGGCAAAAATGCTTCCTATAATCTTATGATTGCTGACCCAAATGACAATTAAAAAAAAAAAAGAATAAACCTCACGTGTAACACGCAAATTGCTATTTAATTAAAACTTTCTTAAAGGGGGAGTAAGAAAGAGGGAAGAAAAGGCTGAAACTGAAAGTGATAGAATTATAAGGGCCATTCATTCCAAAGCTTTATCTTATCCACTGCTATCTCAGACCAGCCAATTATTATAAAAGCTAGTTTTATCCTATCAAATATATTATACCGGGCCAACATAGTGACATACAGCTTGCAAATAATGGAGGCTTAAATTATATACAGAGAAAAGCTAAAAACAACTTGCCATTTGAACATCAACATGATTTCACATATAGTCTAAAATATCAATAATATCGACGATATTATCTTTTTTTAGGGTCACGGATATTTTGGAACGTATCCATATACATATCGTATAAATATCGATAATATCGGAAAATATTGATACCAATAATTTCGCTCACACTTCAGCAATATTTTGTCAAAATATCGCTATAATATCGATGTAATGAAAAAAAATGAAAAAAAAAAACTCAAAGCAGACACAAAGGGGATTCAAACTGTAAGTGTATGCATTTTGTGATTTACTTTTGGTTTTCTTTGATAATTTTGTAATAGGACAATCATTGTATTTTCTCAAGCTCTAGTTTAGATTAAGAATTACATCTCTAGGTGTTCTTATTTGGCTACATTATGATGGACAACAATGGGTTTGACAAAAGGTAAATTTTGCATTGCATTACATTGCATTTTCTAAATTCCTGAAGATTATGACTAGTCATCTTTCCTTCGTATGACTAGTCAACCTTTGCCTTAGTAGGATTTCCAACTCACTGTTTCCAGCTGGATCCTACCCATCTATTTTGTCATATTCTGCGAAATTCTCTGTTGCCTTGTACGATTCTAACCTAGGAATTTTGGTGAAAAAACTAATCCTTGAGTTTACCTAGGAGTGCACTCTCTCTTCCTTGACCAACGGAATGATTCTCTAAAGTTCTCTCTCTCACTGACGAAATTAGAGGAAAAAATTCGTGATATGAAGAATAACTTGGAGGAGCTCTATATATAAGGATCAAAATTCCTTGACCTACAAGGAATCTCAAGCTCATTCCAACTGGGTATTCAGAAAATTGGCAAGTCAAAAACCTCCTCTGAGCAGAAGCCCAAATCCAAGAAGGAAGCCCAATCCAACAGTCAATCCACATCTCTTGCATGCCATCACGCGCCATGCAGAAGCTGGGGGGCATTTGTGGGAATCAAATTTTAGCCAAATCCTAGGTCAAATATTTCCTTCCATTTGGGGATTATTTGGCCTAATTGAGAGTTATTTGATTCAATTGGCAATTATTCGATTCTTACCCTAATTAGGGATTTGATTTAAATCAAATCCCTAATTACGTCAATCTCTCCAAATTGGGGAAGAATAATTCCTTTCCATCTATGGAATTATTCTTCCGAAACCCTAGCCTCCGAGGCTCCTATAAATACATGGCTACACCAAGGCTTGAGGTAATGCTAAATCTACGTCTAAACTTATGTCTGAAACTCTACAAAAATTCCATCTCACAAACCTTAGCCGCCGTACTCTTTCTCTCTCTCACACAAGGCTCCGGCTACCACACATGGCTCCGGCCACTCGGTTCACACCATACATACATATCCGTACCCTTTTGTTACCTATTGTTTATCTACAAACACTCGAACTAACTTAGGCATCGGAGGGCCTTTGGCCAACAACCCCCGGGTGTGGTCCTCTTATTCCGATTTGTTTTGCAATGAGAAAGAGAAGCGAAGAGGAAGAGGGTATCTTAGACGAATATTCTCGTGGGACGAAAATCGCTCCCACATATGCCATAGCAAGTAGCTCAGTCATTATAATGCTACATTTATCTAAAGCAAGCAAGAGTTATGGATTAAAATAAATTACGATAAAACATTGAAACTTACATGACTAGCAAGGATGTACATAAAGAAATTCAAGACACCTTTAACCCATATGGCAATCTCTCTAGTATGTGTTTTAGGAGTTTTTTTAAGTTCCTTACAAGATAAGTAGACGCAAAGAACCTGTGGCACATATTGGAACAAAACAAAAGGGTTCATAATAACCATCATTATTGTGTTCAAAGATCTCAAGTCCCTCATTTTTGAAAAGAAAATGAGAATTGCTACCTGCGCAAAATACAACAAACAGTTAAGATATAATTATCATGAGTAAAGTAGGGAATCATTAACTAAGATATTGTGTTGTCGTATTATTTTATATATTATTTGCCAATAGTGCAAACTCACTCACTTTTACAATGTTAGGCCTCGAACCCAGAACCAACTGGGTGGAGACAAAGCTCCTTACCAGTATACCGATGGGGCACCTCCCTTTTTTAGTAGATATTGAGTTGTCTTACTTTCATATGTTATATCCCATTTCATAAGTGCCTAGTGTACGTAGTATAAGACCAAATCCGCTTTGCATGAAAACAGGTAGATTGGTAAAACAAACAATGAATTCTAAGAAAGGGCTTCTCTTACCTATGGAAGCGGAAGAATAGTAATAAAATGTCAATTAAGATATTATATGACCCGCAGATTGTCTTAGCTATTGTTGGCACAAAAGATTCCGTCCAAAATGTTATTTTCGAGTAGTAATGTCTGCCACGATATTCATCCATTAAACCCGAAAAGTTATCAGTGTAAGACAATTTATTGTCTTAACCACAAATTGTGGTCTTCTAATCAAGTGAGGATTCGAGAGGTTCGCATGATCAGAAATAAACACAAGACTTATCAGGTTATACTTTTGTAAAAGCTGTTCTATTTGGAATACAAGAGATAACAGATTTCCTAGTTCTACATGGATTGAAACAACCACTCCTAATGCAACCAGAATACTCGACAGCTCCTTGATGGGCAAGGCTTTCGAGTAATGCATCTATATAAAGAGGTCCCTTCTCTAGCAACAACACACGCTCAATACAGCTCTCACCCCATCAAGAGAAACAGCTTTACAATGTTGCATAGAGAAGAAGATCCTCTTAGAAGCCAAGATGTCTGACCAAGGTTAGTGTTGAGTTATAAAAGCCTAGTATAGAATTACAATCAGATGTATAAATTTGAATAATAATGTCAAATATATAGAAAAGATCAGTGAATGATCTTAAAAGAAGAGTGGCTACCTTCAAGTTTCTGTCAGATTGCAGGCACTTGATATCATCCTTCCTCATAGGAACGTAGAGAAACAATGGATCCAGTACGACAGCAAACAGACATGATGCTACAAATATCTTCTTCCACACTTGAAGGAAAGACTCCTGGGAAGGATCATGAATTTCTTGTATTCGTGACCATTTTCTACTTGATCCATGTTCGTCTTTCATGATTGATGAGTTTTGGATTCTAGCCTCTGAATTTGTATCAAAACGATTACTGGAGAAGAAACAACAAATTAATATGCAAAATTGGTGGCGCCTTTCATTTTATTTAAATAAAATAAAATAAAAAATAAATGCTGTTAAAGTTAAAGAAACTAATTAACCTTCCAACTTTCTTTTTCGAGTTCTCTGCAAGAAGAGTTGCTTCAGATTTCTCTTCCCCGTTCTCCACAACTAAAGCTATTTCGGAGTGAGACATATTTTGGACTTTCTTTTGTATTTTGGTTGTGTGTGTGTGCAGACACTCTGAATAATCTTGTAGCTACAACCCTGCACAATTTGCAAATGATGTAGCAAATTCCCCTTGAAATTTATAGAACTGAATTCAGCACTATGCTTGTCCAAAAAAAAAAAAGGAAGAAGAAAAGGTCAAGTTAGTGCGTTGACAATTGACCTAGTCGTTACTGACCAAAGCAAATTTGTTTATTAAGTTCAAAAACTCTTCCCACTAGTAATTCTTTTTTGGGAACTTCACTAATATACCCCAAATATGGGCTGAAATTATAAAAAACCCCCACATAGAATGCACTTTAGAAACACACCCAAAACTCATTTACTACATAAGAAATTAGTGTTAAGTTCTTATAAATTACATGACTGTCATTGATTAACTTAAAAAAAAAGCCCAACACAAAAAACTTGAATAGCACCCAAAACAAGCCCAGCCCAATTTTATAAAAAAAAACCCAAACAATTCATTACAAACAAAACATCTTGAAAACTGTAGCTTCATTAACGTGTCATGTTAATTAATAACTGTAATGTTCCACACCTTTACTGTCATGTTGATTAATTGTTGTAATGTTCCAGTCTAGGGTAATAACACTGTTTTGTCATGTTGATTAATGGTTGTAATGTTCCAGTCTAGGGTAATAACACTGCTAGTTTCCTATGACATCATATTTCTAATACATGTTTACCCCTGTAATGTTACAATCTAGGGTAATAACACTGGTTTCCTATGATATCCTATTTCTAATGCATGTCTACCCCTGTAATGTTCTACTCTAGGGTAATAACATTGCTAGTTTACTGTCATGTTGATTAATGGCTATAATGTTCCAATCTAGGGTAATAACACTGCTAGTTTACTGTCATGTTGATTAATGGTTGTAGTGTTCCAATTTAGGGTAATAACAATACTAATTTCATATGACATCCTATTTCTAATGCATGTCTACTAATGTAATGTTCCAATCTATGGTAATAACACTGCTAGTTTCCTATGACATTCTATTTCTAATGCATATCTACCCCTGTAATGTTCTAGTCTAGGGTAATAACACTGCTATTTCCTATGACATCCTATTTCTAATGCATGTTTACCCCTGTAATGTTCCAATCTAGGGTAATAACACTGTTAGTTTACTGTCATGTTGATTAATGCTTGTCATGTTGCTATTTCTAATACATGTCCACCAAAGAAAAGATGAAGAAAGAACAAACCAAACCAACTCAAAACAAGCCGAGCCCAGATTGTTAATACTATTATGCCATAGAAGTATATTGTTAATACTTTGTCATAGAAGTACATTGTTAAACAAAAATGAGATTCATAACTGAAATAGTAACGAAAGATAAATCGATCATCAAAGCTTAAAATACATTTCGAAAATCAGCTAAAATCCGAAGAAAAACACATAATTGAAGCAAAAGATCAAAAATCTCAAGTTCAAACCAAACGACGACGACGACGACGACGATGATGACGATGATGACGACAACGAGAACAATGACGTGGCGAAAGAGGAGTAGAGCTAAGAGCATTTGATCGAGGTTTGTTTGAGATCTTGAACAATCTGGAAAAAAAAAACAATAGAAGCACGATTTTAGAATAAGAAATCGAAAGTGAAATATTGAAAATTGTAGATTAAAGGTGAAGAATATAGTTGGACCTGAGACTGAGCTTCAATGGAAGTTCCTCTTGCTCCAACACTAGAGAAAACACTAGCGAGAAAGGAGAAAATAAATCTGATTTGGTTTTTTTGGCAAATCTGGTTTTTTGGCAGATCTGATTTTCCTATCTCAAATCCATAGTACAAGGACAATATAGTTATTTAACACACACAAATAAACTAAAAAAGAACTATTAAATTAAAAAAAATTGACAGATGTCAAATTTTGGGTTTTTTTTTGGTGTGTTTATAGTTTTTAAATGGTATATGGTTTCTTTATAAGAATATGTCTAAGATTGGGTATATAACTAAATTTCTATTCTTTTTTTAGTATAAGCGATAGTCTAAACTACATGGGAGGAGAGTGTCTCACACACACACAATCAAGATGTCATGGGGGTTTGAGTCTGAGACCTCTTATCTGCAAATCAAGATTATTTTCCACTGACCCCATTGACTTCCAACTAGTGATCCTAAAAACACAAATGAAAGACTACAAAATTTGTAATTAACTAAGACCTCAACGACGGCTCGCAAAAAAAAA